AAAATAGGAAAACCTAATAACCTCAGATATTTAAACACTTGATGCCCTGAATAAATAAAAACATTTAATTCCCACTAAAATTGAAAGGACTTACACTTTTACACCTGAGAAAAATCAGCATGCAGTATTATCATAACCAAGCCACACAGAAGCACACTGTAACTTTTGAGTCTATACTGAAAAATTGTATCACTAAGAGAAGCAGAAAAAAGCAATACGACACTTAAGAATCTGAAATTTGGTTTGCTGTTTTGGGCTTCTTTTTACAGCTTATAGTTTTAGAGAAGAGAAATAGCCTGAACATAAAGAGAACCAAGATGTGAATGTATAGTTGTTATGGCAATAGGAAACACTAGCATGGTTTTAGCCTACACTTAATAAGCAATACGTTTATCATTACTCTGAACATATGCCATTCAAATTCAAAGTATGCCTGCTGCTACATCATTACAGGCCTGCAGACTGCATTAGATCCATGTTAGAATATCAGTGCTTTGCTAAATTTCACTGTTAGAACTGCATTTAATCAGTCCTTGGTCATTCCCTAGTTTGTTTGTACTTCTATTTAAGCCTTAACAGGACGGCTGTGGGTATTTAAGCTTCAAAGAACTAACCTACTTGTATTTACTAACTTTAAGCCCTACTGCAATCTCTGCAACAAAAATAATACGTCATTTCTTTAACAATAAGCTGAAGAGGCCATAAAACCAGGTACGTTCCAGTTTTGAGAGTCCCTTTATCTCCCAATCTTTAGCTTTTTTATTCAAATGCTTAAAATTACATAATTATTATAATCTATTTATTAAGGCAGGTAAAGTGTAGAGACAATGTGGCTAGTCTTGAGGTAAGATTAAACACAATGTATTTCTTCCAGCATCCAAAAAGAAAGAACAATAACAACAAGCCAGAAGAAAGCAAGGCAAGACCTAAGACATTTAAAGCCTGAGACTATATGGAGACCCACACACACAAGTTACTAGATGGTCATCCCTCTCTCATCACAAGCTTTCTTGATTCAGTCATCATACCATCAACTCTCTTCCATTATTAAAATTTTGAGACCTTCCTGTATAGAAAAGCAGACCTATTAGATCAAATTTAGTTTCCAAAACACCCACACCACTGTGCCTCTCCAGTCTAAATGTACTACACTTTGCTACTTGAAAAGCCAGATACACAGCATTCAAAACAGGCTGAATTTGAAAAACTGAAATGAAACAACTATCTCCATTATGTGAAGGATCAATGCTTCAAATACTAAAACTAATCTTCTTCTTTTGGTATTTGCTCTACATGTGCTCAGTCTTAAAAAACCCTCTTTTTTAATTGAAAACTAATAAACAATTACCAAGTGTAGAGAATATTCCCATTTCCAGCAAGTCAGTTTGTCAAATGTGAGAAGACTGTAGCCCCACAAAATTACTACAAATAATAAAAGATAAACATCAAAGTAAACAATTATTTTCCTTGGTTACTAATGTTTCAAATAAGTTACGGCTAAATTCCACATCTTTTAAGAAGTATTTTTTCCTCTCTCTCTCTCTCTCTAATGAGATTCTTGCTTGTATTGCTCCTTCTTGCCCCCTTTTTTTTTTAACAAAGGACAAACAGGAACGCTGAATTGCAACTGCAAGTACAAATATGGGCTTATACTAACTAAAATAAAAGAACATTATGAAACAGCTATGTTTACTACATATTTGGAAAAAAGCACACTATGTAACATTCTAAACTCTTCTAAAAAATGTTACCACTATTCCTGTGCTTCTGACCACATTATATAGACTTGAATTTTCTCCCTCTACCTGCATTCCCTACACTTCCCTTTCTCACACTAATAACTTTGGAACAAGTTAATTATGGCTATGTTATGCTGAAGTACTGTCAGCTGGAGGGAGTGTCAAAAGGCTGGCACAGCCAGCAAACAGGAGTAACACAGAAATTGATGAGTGGTTTGTGGTGTCCAGCAGCATCTCATAAGCTTAAAGAGTCTACAAATATATTCACATATATTAATTTCCTCTAGCAATTTTTGAAAATTTAAGCAAGCAGATGCTTTGGAAGTTCTCTGTCTAGTAACAAAGACCCAATTTACATTATGAAAGGTATCCTTCCCTAAGATAATATTGACTGTTTTCTTGTAATGTTAAGAGCCACATTTTAAAGCTATGCAAAGCTGTAATAAACATCAGCTCTGTTTAAGCACCTGTAGCTGTTAGTACTAAGTACCAAAAAATGGTTTGTCTATTGCTTGTAAGAAATTCTAAAACCAGTTGACAGTTCAAATTCACGTGGAATTCGGTTAAGCTTTACTCAGAGAAGAAGTAATTATATATTCTCTCTTTTAATTACAAAAACCAATGTTTATGTTAAAGGTAAGCTCTTGTATCATCAAATTTCCAAGAAGCTGGGTGGTAGATCAACATGAAAATATATTCAAAATAGGAGTATTTAATACAATAGGAAAGAAAACCTGGAAAATTTGTTTGAAGTATTGTTTGTTCAAAATACGGTATCTTGAAATATTCAAGCTTCAGTTGCAGTATCCCACACACATTACACATAGATGCACACCCACCCACCAAGATGTAGGCCCTTCTTTAAAGGGCATTAATTACTATGGCAACTACTTTCACTGACACAGGCAGCTCCATTTATTTTATCATTACTTGTATACCCCTAGAAACACCAGAATCGCAAGACATTTGCAAATACAGTTCATAAACTAATTGTATCCTACTTTATCCAATAATTATTAGAAATATACCATCTTTTGTAAATAAATTAACGTGCATCTTAAACTAAATTAATATACAAGACAGATTTTTGTCATACAAATAAATTCAGTGAAGATTGGCGCCCAAACTTTTAAGTAAATCACAGTAATTTCAGAAGGCTGAAATATATAAACTCTAGAAATATATGAATGCATGCCTCGCTCTCCTATATCCAACACTGTCTGAAATTTCAGTGGGGAACATATTCAGAAACAGAACCCCCCAAAATAATTATTTTTTGTATCATATACCTGGCTTCCACAACACTGATAAACAGGCGTTCAAATACAGTAAGACTGATATACAGAATCACAAGCAAGGGCTTGTTTTTGTGTTTTCATACATTTTAATAGTACCTCTACACCACTAATATTACAATTTGTTACAATGTACAGAAGAGATTTATTAAAATAATCAAATTAAAAAAAAAAAAAAAATCAGGCTCCGAAGTGCTAATATAACTGCTACCCATCCAACCTTCTAGTAGCTAGACACATTACATATATATATATATATAAAAAAAAAATACACACGTTTACACACTGTCCTACAGAACTTCTGCCCTGTTCAATGCACAGAACAACTACAAAACAGTTTCAGCAGTTATTTATTTTTATATTTTTTTGCTCAATGTATGACCTGACATTCTCTTTCCAATATCGACCTCTTTCTCTAAATAAATTACTAAAATGTCCCTTCCACAGCACTCAGTGTTACAGGAACCGATTTAATCTTTTAAAATATCCCAAGAGACATTTTTCTCATATATAGGAAGCCAAGGCATACAGAGATCCACAGAACTACACAGTTCCAATTCATATCAGATGCTCATTTTAACACTTTTTAAATTCTGTGCATTGTATGGTACCTCACAGATTAAAAGCAAAGCTACTGTTGAATTGTTTGTGGATTCAGGTGCTCAGCAATCCCCCTAGTCAGGCCTTAAGATCTTAAGCATATTCAAGAAAATAAGAAGAAATTAGTAATTACTGGCTTGCTGTGAAAAGTTTGTTTTAGCAGTTTGTCTCGTGACACTTAGGAAACTTGTGACAAAGCAAAGAAAGAGTTCAGCTCTCCCAAGCAGCATTAAACAGTCTTAACCTTGAAACTGTACTTTTTCTCTTTCTGCAGTTCCTGTTATTTTCATTACACGCTTTCTAACCACATTGGTACGTGTAGGCAGAGCAATACATGGTTATTGGCATCTTACCATGTAATTCCAGAACATTTCTATTCTGTAAGAACTGAATCAGAAATTGGATGAGGGGAAAAAAAAAAGCATACATCTGCAGAGAGAAGGAAAAGAGGGAAAAAAAAAAAAAAGGCAAGACTTCTTCGTCATTTGCAGACTACACTGCACTTAGTCTGCACAGGCTGTTCTGTTCAGTTCCTCCAAGCTTGGTCCCATCAGTTCTGCTGCTCTTACTTTAGACTCCTTGTCTCAGACCTCTTCTCTTTGCCTCTTCCGTCTGCCCTGTTTCCATGATTCAGGACTCTCACTTGAATATCCTTGCTAAGCCTGACTGACATCTCTTCTAGTCTTGCTGTCTTACCTCCACTCTGCCTACTAGTCCTACCTAGTTCTTATCCCTCTCTCATTTTTTTTCCAGTCTGCACTTAACCATCCCCAGCAGTTCCAGTAGCCAATCTCTCTCTCCATCCTTGACTGAGATACTAGTTCCCCATAGCTATCAATATGCCCCCTCGAACTACCCCCATGATGCCAGCTCTCTTGTCCCAGGCTCTTCCTCCCTTCATTAAGCATTTACCCAGCCCATCCTCCTCCTCAATTAAAACTCTCTTTTTTCACCTGCCCTAATTTTCTTCTCTACACTTGTAAATCATCATCTCAGCACAGTACTATATCCCTCACCCTGGTCACACTATTGTTCTTTATACATTCAAACAGACATTAGGTACATTTCTTCTTTCGGCCTCCCTTTTCTACCCCACTTGGGTGACAACTGAAGATCCTCAAAAGCAAAGAGAGAGGCTTCCCTTTTTCCTTTCAACACCTAGTCTGACCAATTTCTGAGCCTTGAAATTTGTACTGCAACACACACTCTGCAAAGCAAGTGCACATGCAGTACGGTCACACTCACATCAAAATGATGTTCTGGAAATCTGAGAGATACTAGCAGCTAATTAGCAGCTGTTTCCATTAGTTCATCTGCTTTATTATAATACTTGGGTTAAAATACAAGTTATTGGAGTTTAACTTACCGAACATTTTCTGGTCTCAATTTATCCAGTACCATCTCTATTAAATCAGGCCTGAATTCTTCAAGTAAATATTCAGCAGCCAATACTTCTTCTATAGGATAATACTAAAAAACAAAGCCCAGAAATGTGTAGATTAATTAAACAAAAAACTAAGCATGAAGAAATTACTGCTTTGTAAAGGAAATAAAAGTGTATACTTCTAGTCACTAAATCTGTATTACTTCAGTAATTCCAAATTAGCAGTATATAGATGTCTTAAAATCTTTATCTTAAAACTAAACAAGATGGAGTAGTACTCTAACTATGCAATCATATTTCTCCTATATTAGGTACTTCTATATACTTCATACTACCAGCCTTTTCTCTTGAAATATTTTATGTCTCAATAGAAGAAGTCACTCTTAAATACTGTTTTGAAGCAACTAAAGTAAAAATAACATGGTAAATGCTGACCCCTGGAGGATATTTTTAAAGATAAAAGAACACCAAGTGCTCACTAGAGTACATTTGGGAAAAACAAAACATAAAAAAGCAAAAAAAACGAAATCAAACCAAAAATCCCACTAAGCTTTTCAGGATTCCCTAAGAATTCAATTTTTATTTACAGTAATTTAAAGGAAAGTATATTTCAATTATCTGAAAGCATAATACAAATTTACACAATTTTAATTCTAACATTTTTTAATTAGGATCAAACTAAAAAACTCTTAAGGTACATGACATTTCAAGAAAAAAAATAGTTAAAATTCCTCTGAAAATCATTAGTGTGGTTGAAGGAAAACTTTGTTAATAAACATCTGTTTGCCAAGGAAAAAATACCAGGTGACCTAAGCACTGAGTACTTGCAGTTTGCTATAGAGGTGTACTTTTTTTGACTAGAATTATTATAAAAGAGGTTTCTGTATTACATACATGATACATAAAACTACAGTGGAATGACTTCCAGAGCACAGTAACTCATACAAGGGATTTTGGAAAACAGAAAGGGCCAGGGTGGGCGGGGTGGAGACCAAGGACAGTGAACCAAACCAGTGTTATACAAAAAATGTGAACGCTAAAGATCCATAATTTGAAAGGTCTTGTCCAAAAGATTCATTGTACACTGAAGAAGATAGCATCCCAAGTAGGAGCTCCTTTAAATATCCATTTAAATGCTTTCAGTTAAGTCTAATGCTTTTAGTAAACAGAAAGACAATTCTAAAATTAAAAGATAGCTGTTCTAGACTTTATAAATTAAAGGTGCAGGAGCATTAACAGGAATTCCTGCAAAAAAACCAAAAATGCCTCTGAGTAAACGCAGACATTAGCTGTGCAATGGAAAATGGCTGTAATGTATAAAAGTTGCATGAATTTCACTAGATTAAAAAAAAAAACAAACCTAAATCTTCCTTTAGTGCAAAATGAGGAAACTGAATTTTCCAAGAAGTGTAAAGACTAAGTATAAGCAACATGATTACTCTCTCAGTGCCAATAATACATAATCACATTAGAATTAAACACTTCTAATTTGCTATCTTAATACAACCATTTCTGCTTACCACAGTATTTCAATGTTGTTAACTTTTGGAAGCATTTAGAAACATCGTGCTTGTGTTTAAGATAAAAATATTATTTCTCTAGTATTTCCCTAGAGAACATTTAGCTATCAGGTAAACACAGAATGACAAGGTACTTGTGTCTTAAGAAATACTGAAATAGAACAAATAGCAACTCCAGTTACTGTAAAACCAATTCTACCAAGTATAGGAGTATAAAATGGTTGAGAGTGAAGGAAATGTGACTTACTGACTGCTAAAAAGAAGATCTATGCAGCATGACATTAGCTTCCTAAGCTTAATAAGTGCAAAGGACCTTGGCAAATACCTGTATTTATTAAGAGTATAATGAAACATACTGCTATGCTTACTATATTGTAAAACAAAAAACAAAACCAAAAAAACCCCACAACCCACACTTACATGCAACATTCCTCCAAGCTTTGATGTATAACCTCGTGGTCGTTCTTTATCTTTAAATCTGAATGCCACAGCATTTAGATCCTAGGAAACAATGTAGGAAGGCTTGAAAAGCATATATTAAAGACTATTTTAAGAATAATTATTGGCTACTTAATCTATTTTTATAATGTAAGAAGGAGTTTTGTTGTGCCCATTTTGTAGTAGTTAGGTACCTAACACAAGAGTTTTCACTAATATTCAAGTCGCACAAAACTTACAAGCAATTTTGTATAGTCTCACAATGTGAAGTGTTACACAAGTCATCTTCATATTAAGAGATTTGTCCCATATCTTATATATTTAAATTTCCTGATAATTTGAAAACACACCAACTCTGATACAACCAATGCCTAGTGTTCCAGTGCAATGTTCATAGTATGTTAATAACCTGAAGCCTTTCCCTCTTCCCTTTTTGCTCCTTTTGTTCAGTCAGCCAAAAGGTAAAAGCATGTTTCTTTATGCTGTTTTAGCCACAGAAATAGAACACATCATTCTTAGAACACAAGGGCAAGGGTGACTTAAAGAGATCTAAAACTATTAAGCCAATGAAAAGGACACTCCATCCTTCTGTAAAGCCATGCAGAGAGTCTTGTTAATTCAATAATTCAGCAGAAAATAAACTCAAAAGAAGATTATTTTCAAACTAGTTTGCCAGCTCTTCTGACTCACCTCAGAGCCTCAGGAGTGCTGGGACTAATACAAGAGCAGCCAGGGAAAGACACAGGGATAAGAGGGGAAGATGAAACTACCTGACTCAAATCTTGTATACGCTTACAATGACACTGAAAAAATTCTACATTGGGACTTTTAGCAGAAGGTAGAGACTTCTTTTACACGTACACAGTGTCAAAATGCAAGTAACAAAGTTAACACATCTGCAGAATTTCTGCTCTTAGACAGAAGAGACTCAAGTTTTCACCAAATAAAGCTAAGATGGAACAAGAAATCTTTACCCAAGTACTTGTAGTGAACCAATGAGACTATACAAATAAATAAAACTAGGTTAATTTCATACCATCACTGAGAAGCGCAGTACTATTTAATCCTAATAGAGCACTTCATATTTTTGCCCTGTGTACACAGAACCATATAGACTTAAAAGAATCATGAACAGTTCAGCAAAGTTCACCACTCAAAAGGAGGGAGAACAAACAGCAGATTAAGTGTCCTACTGCCTTTACAATCTCAACTGTATAATCTGACACATGAAAGAGAGAGGGGTAGAACAGTAGCCATTTCAATTTCCAATTCAGTGTTAACCCTCACAGCAAATGCTTTCCCCCTCTCTACCTTCAGTGAAGGCTATGGCAGGTTATGCAAAATCCTTGTGGACAGGGTAAGCTGCTGTTTCCTCCTCCACCTCCATATCACAAAATGTCAACTCATAGCTCATTTCACATCTACATTAAGATAATATATTCTGAATGTACTCGTCATTTGTGCCATGTCACACCTTTAAAATTAATAAACTTAATTACCATGCAGTTATTAGAGGCTATTTCCACAGCCAAGTAATATATTTCTACTTATAACCCAAAAATTTGTAAGAATACAACAACTGCATATTTCAAGTACTAATCACTGTACCTTGCACTCCTGGAAAACCCATTCTTGAGGTCCTTCTATACGTAGTTTTTGAATATATTGAAACATGTGCAAAATAATATCTTCAACGTGCACTGGAAAGAAAAAAATATTTGCTTAATAATTCACTCAGTTCTGCATAAAGAAAAAATTCTGATGAACACAAATGTCTGGTCTTACTTTTCATTACACCCTGATATGTTAAGATATTTAAGTACATACACAATCCCACCAACAAAGTTAAACATGTTTTTCTCAGACATGAATTTAAGGTAAGAGTTTAGGTCCCCAGATAATTCTGAGAAGTGCACTGAACATGTCTTATGTTAAGATATCGATTTAACTTGGATCTAAATAGTATGAATAAGTAGCACACAAAAGTATTAACAGTTTTTCTTTTAAAGAAATTTACTTTAAAATATTTAAAGAAATACTGTAATTTAATATAACCTCAAATAAGTACATTTTGTATGTTAGACGAAGTCTGTTAGCATACGGAAAGGATCTAAACACAGAAGAAAAAACAGTTAAGTAAAATAAATGTCCTTTCAAGCTATAAACACAGTTAGTCCCTTTGGATACAAACACGACCCCATCAGATCAGGAATAACATGGAATGTAGACAGTGCTTCACTTACAAAGTCCTTCCTCTGTCAAGTCCACATTAATGATGAAAAACATGAAACCTCTAGCACCTTCCTTCTGTCCTCCAACAAGAGTATTTACCCATCCTATGAAATCAAAGAGAAAATATATTACATAAACTATTCTGTAACAATTTATGCTGCCTTTTATATGCCTCAGCAACATTAAATTACTGGGGGGTTTGTGTTGGGTTTGGTTTTTTTTACATTTTGACTAATTTACATGTTCTCCTCTTCCATAATGCCTATAACAGTGCAAGTTAAATATAAGTCACACCTATCTGATTTTGTACTCAGAGTGATATAAGCTCAAGATCATTTGATTATTGGGTAATTTATTTCTGTTTGGAACACAGTAATACAAAGACAAATGGCAAAAGTTATCCTCTTGTAGTCTTCCAGATATTAAGGGACCTGACAGTAGTCTCTAAGTCAGTGACAGAATACATACAAGATCATTATGTCAAAGTTCATGTAGCTCTCTAAAGAGGGGTAGGTAAAGGGAAGTGCAAGAAATAATAGCTTCAGTAGTCAAAGAGTGCCTATTATTTATTTTTACCTACCACAGAAACAAGAATAAAGCACAAAACCACTTACAGCTGAAATTACTCAGTTGGGGGCTTTACATTTAACATACAGAAGTTCAATTTTAAGTGAAACATAGTTAAGCTTTAAAAAAACCTGTGTATTAAATTACTTTTTAATTCTTTACCTTCGAAGGGCTTACCTTTGGCTTTAAGCTCTGATAAAAGACTCCCTGGGCCTTCATGCCCAATCAGATGACCAAGGTAATGGCCAGGGTTTGATTTATAGTACTTTTGAAGGTCTGGTATAGGAAATGTGACATAAAGATTTCTGATGTCCTTAATAGGTACCACTTTGTAAAGTTGCTGAGGGAGGAAGTAAACAAGGAGATCCATAAACAAAAGGAAACTCTAATTATTTTATTAATCTCAGGACCACGTATCACGTTCCCCTTCACACACACACAAGCATTTTATTACAACCAACAGAATCTTGAAGGTATGTATAGGGCAACATCTTAGCAATTCATGATGCAAACAGAGAATTAATTATCTCCCAGTTGCTCACAGCTGCAACCAAATGTACAACCTCTGCTATAAATGATATAAAATACACTCAGCATGGAAAGATGGGTAAAAAATTAAGAAAGAAATATGGAACTTAACAGGGACACTGGTACAAAAGCAGTGAAGTGCACAATGAATTACTGAAACATAAAAAAAACATCACTTGAGGTATACACTCCTGTTGGAAGATGTATCCTATACATACCCGAAGATGTTCTTCTTGGAAAGGATGTTCAGGGAACTCTGGTATAGGGACATTTTTATTCTCTACTTCTGAAAATAACTTTACCACTAAGCAAGTCAGCTCATCCAAGGATTCTAGAATAAAGAAACATTTTAAAAAGCACAATCAATATATGAAGATTCTGGCAAGTCTGGATTTTGTATATTCTTTGGAGGAGACAGGAATTATACAGAAAAGTAGTTTTAATGGTATGATGGTTATTCATTTCAGAAAGGAAATCTACATTAATACTTAAGTTTTGAACTATAATGTGCTATAAGCACCATGCTTATCAAAAGAAGGATTCAACTATGATTAAATTAAATCCTGTAACCAGAAAAAAAATCTTTAAATTGTACTGATAAATCTAGGCTGTAACTGAAGAAGAGACACATCAGATATTGAACATTCACAAAAATCAACATTCCACAAAAAACTTAAGGGACATGGAATTACAGCTGCAAATTTTCCTGAGTGAAAGCATCTTTGCCAAAAGTTCGATTTTCTTCCGCTTCAGCTCACTTCCAGTACCTCATGTACACTGCGAGCCAGGGTCACCTGTCCTCAGTGTCCCAAAATTTCACATACATCAGATCTGTTTAAGCACTTCTACTTTTACATCAATTCTAATTGCAGCCTTTGACCCTAGTACTCTCCAAAAATGAGAGGAAGACCATTTGTGGGAAGAGTCTGTTGACCGGTACCATTTCTGTTTAAATACTGCCTTCAAAAAAGCTATCTGCTTGAAGAAATGCATTTTGGAGCATTTCTCAAAGTGAGAGTAAGGGAAGAGAGACTCAGCCATCAAGTTTTTTAGCACATGCCTTTTAAGGGTAGGCACTGAAGAAAAAACTGGGTGTTACCTAGATGTCTCAAAGTATAACCTTAATCCTTGAAAGACTTCGAAAAGTGGTTACCTTGTTAGTCAAAACAATCCCAGTTAAGATTTAGGAAGCCAGATCCTTCCTGCCCAACGTATGCATGCTCCTACACTACACTAAGGTAACGATGCCAGGGAAAAAAACAACTGTGCAAACCAAGATGGGTCACTGTATAATAAAATTTTGTGAACTCCACATAATTCTATTGAAGACCACCATTTTTACCCACATCAGAAAAATACAAATTCATTTAAGCTTTACAACTACAGTGAGGGCTTTCTTTAGGACAGATTTACAGTTGCCAATGTGATTCTTACCAAAAAAGTTTCAATTTAAAAGTCTCTATGTGAACTGCTGTACTAAAGCTTTTCTATGATTACTCAATTAATTTTGCTTTTGATTAGATTTTTAAAAAGTCATTATTTAATTTTAGCAAACTTTTGAATATTTATTAGTATTTAATAGAGAAATTATATTCTGATTCTCCCACCACTTTTTACTGATATGTATTTTTATTTGTTTTACATTAGATATATAAAGTGGTGGAAAAATCAGAGAATTACTAGGCTGCACATAGCTTTAGCCATCCATTTATTTCACAATGCACAGAGTGGAGAAATGGTGGGGGAGGTGCAGCGTGTAACTGAACATATTTTTATGTTATAAAATTTCTATTTATGTATTAATTAGCAGTGCTGCTACATCGATAGCAAAGTATTTCAGAAAAAAAAATATGGAATAATGCTAACAAGGTTTGTTTTTCTGCAGTTTCTTTTTATGGGTGGAACTCCTGGGGGGTGGGGAGGAGAAATCAGGAAGAACATGAAACTTGTAAATTTTCAAGTTTTATGCCACAGCCAAGTCCTCAAATAGCCCAATCAGCCATTAATATAAAGCCTTCTGGAAAGCAATTGCATAATTCTCCAACTTGAACAAAGCCTGAAAAAAGGTATGGGCCTCTTCAGGGCAAATAAGATACAACGTTTGTCCAAATAATACCTCACTATTATGGTGACAATTACTTAATTAGACATGACAAAAAAGGGTAGTTGTAATGGCATTTTGTATACAAGCACACTAACAAAAAGCCTGAGAGTTACTTTTCAAAAATTTATTTATAAGACTGAGAGGAAAAATCCCAAAGACTGAGGTTTCAAAGGCTCCTAATTATTCTAAATACTGAGCTATTTACAGAGGTAACTCACACTGAAAGAAACTATGGAAAATGACTAGAAAAAAACATCTAAATTCATTATTTTAACAAGAATAATTTCTGTGTTTTGTAGTATAAAAATACATATGAGTAAATTGCAGAAATATTTGAAAGGTAACAGATTTTAATACTATTTTCTACTTTTTATCGGTTTTTGAAATGCAGATGATCTCTGACCTGGAATATTGCCTATCCAGTAAAGAACTAGTTAAAGAAAAAAAGATGCCCAGAAACCATGAAAACAGAACTCTTAAATGAGGAAGGGAATTCAAATTAAATTATTTTAAATTCTGATCAATACCTGTTTACTTTCAAATAATAAATAATTATTTTTAAAGAAAATAAAGGATTTTTTTATTTTGCTCAGGTAAAATAAACAGAAGAAAAAAAACTGAGAAGAGAGAAGCACCTCTTTCAAACAGCAATAAAAATAAAATCACAATATTAAAAAATATTTACAGGCTATGTTCATCAATATTACAGTGTTTACTTGCAGAAAGTTTCCACTGCTACCAGAAGAATAAGCAAAGCATTTTTACAATAAGCCATAGTGGTATTACCTACATACCTACCAGTAACACAGCTGATACCTCACCTTAAAAAACAAACAAACAAAAAAACCCAAAAACCAACTAATAGATTTTACTGTTCACCTTGCAGCAGTGAAAAAAACTTTCATCATATTCTAATCAACGTACGATGTTACAGCAGGTGAGATAGAATAATAAATTTAATTGAAAGAAATTAGGGAGCTTGGAACTGATTCGGTAGTGAATATGTGCACAAAACTTGGATTCAGTGAAGAACGTGTTTGCCCACCTTAAAAATCTACAAGAAAAAAATATTCTTTTATATGTTACGACTGAAATGAAACAGGTACATTTTGTTAATCAGCTTCATATTCAGCATACTGTAAACAGTTGTAAAGGAAGATTTCAGTTTCCTAATGAATTTTATTCCATTCATAGTCACCATCCAAGCATTACTGTAATACACCATACAAATACCAGTCTGCCAGCATATTTTCAAAAAGCAAACAGTTTTAACACAATGTTATTATGCTTTTGGCAAACCTTTATAAAACATCACCTCGACTGCGGAAGATTTTAAGCAGTTGGAACCTCTGTTAAGTTAATTCAGAAGTCAACGGAAGTAAAGGCTTTTTATCTAAATGTTAGGTTAGGTTTACCTTTGACAATACAGGAATTTTTGTAGTGGAAGTATAAGCCTAAAATATAGAAACAATATCAAAAGCCCTCCCAACATCTGAAACCAGACAGGTATCAGTCTTCATAAGACAAACATACAATGACAGCAAGTGATGACATAACAGATTCAAAATTTTCAGCTTATTTTTTCTACTGTAAGCTTATAAATACTAAGTTTATACATTGCATTGGAGACTTCACTAAACATAAAATTATGTTACGTCAGTCTGTGCAAGTTTCACTTTTTTTCCTTTCTGTAGGTTTCCAGACACTTGCATACACTCCAGTTTCTTTGAACATAAATACATGTAAAGTCTTACTCAACAGAATAAAACTCACCTCTTCCTAAGACACAAATAGCCATTAAATTTGATGAATAATAAGTAGAATGGAACTTCAATAGCTCTTGTCTTACATCTATTCCTTCTTTGGTTGGTCTAGTTTCCAGAGTGAGTTTGTTCCCTGTAATATAAAAGAAAAATTCACAATATTTTATGTTTATGAATTTATAAATAAAAAAGAAAAATATAAATTAACAAATGTGCTTTCCTCCAGATGGACAGTAACTTTTAAAATTATTATTATGCATAATAAGTAAACTAGATCAATACTGTCTCAGCTTATCAGATATAATAAAAAATTCCATTCTCAATCTGCAGATTCCTAAAGAATCAAGGATGTTTCAGTCTTCCAAATTTCTATCTTTAATTTGAATGGGTTATTTCAAAGCAATGCAAGTGAGCCCAAGCTCTAAGTCAGCCTATACAGGCATGTATGCCTAGTGCACAAATCCTACAATCACAGATACAAGGTAATACAACTCAATGAAGCAAAATTAGCCACATAAATAAGACAAGTATATTGTCCAGATGTTTGGTGATTAGATACAAGTTTAAATACAACTACAACAGTCAACAAATCATCAGAGAGGTTGCCTGAAGCAATTTATTGCTTTAATTTTCAAAGTTCATATGTGAGTAAAAGCAAAGATTCTTAATGACATCTGAAAAGGATAATTAGGGTATTATGTTTAAAATATATTGTCTATACTCCTCACCATCTGCAGACAAATGAAATGCAGAAGTTTTAGATAATCTACTATCTTTATTCCCACAGAAGCAATACTTGACACTGTTGAAGGGTACTGATGGAGAAGAATTACCATTGTAGGCATTAATTCAGGGAGATGGGTGAAAGGTATCTGGGGACAAAATGTACATCCTAACAAGAAGGTTGAAAGATTAAGGTGTATTTGTTTCTCTGGACAAAGAGTAACAGAGTTTGCTGGCAAAACAGGCTGCTCAGCAATGAGGAGTGATCTGAAGAATCAAATGGATCAAAAAAACCTTTCATTCCTATATTCTGCTAGACTAACATCTCAGCTGGTCAAAAGGAAACAGTAAGAAGGATGCCAACTGCAGTTGTCATGAAAACCATATCACAGTTGTCATCTCCTTGGGCAAGTAAAAACCACCAAAGCTGGGCTCTACTTCTGCAGTCAGCTCTACAGGAAGGCTATGTGCTAGAATTTAATCTCAGAATCAGAGCCTGATCTAAGAAGAAGTGAGTATGACTACTGCTAATGAATTTGAGCACATTTCAGGTATTCTCCTCATGGAAACATTTCACTGTTGTCAGCTGTAGAACCTTGAATTGTAGAAAACTCTTTCTGCAAGTTCCACTTACATTTTCCAAGTGTGATACAAGAATTAAAAAAATGATCTCTTCAGTAGCAGAGATTACAGAATGTACTTTGCATGCTTGCCTGCCTATCAATATGTGGTTCCCAAGACTTTATTGTCAAATTTACGTGTCTGGAGAATGCAGTTATAGTTTCCCTGTTTCACAGAGCCTCTCTTTATTGGTGAACAAGGCAACACACACTCTTGCAGTGGCCGGCTATCAGTGCCTTAGCTATGCCCTCCATCAACAGGAGGAGGCTTTTTAAATTGAGGTTTTGGGGTGCTTATTTTAAATTGTTACTAATCATTCTGTGAATAATAAAGCCCAAAGAAAAATTACATCCATATGATTGGGATTTGTCCAAGACCATTCTACCAATCTATCTACCACTGTTGTGTTTTATGTGTAAGATTTTGGTTTTATATTCTTATTCAGTAATTTTCACATTACTTTGTTGATCTTTCTGAGTCATCCTAGTCACTGTCATCTAGACTTAATGTAATACTAGTTAGCAAAAAAAAGCACCTGCATGGCTAACAACAATTTAAACACAGTTCATTCACTTTGTTATGCACAAAGACTTAAATGTACCAAATTATGACAAACCCAGTAACTGCAAAACAGCATCCATTGCAGTAATTATCAGAATCATAAAGGATTCTTCATCACTGTACTGCGAGTCTTGGATCACTCTGTCTCCTACGTTTTTGGCTAACTCTGATCTATGATGTGGAAAAGATGATAAAGCACCATAATAATGTATAGAGTGGAAAAAAAAAAATGGAATTGTTTCAGTCCGTCTTTAACAATTCTATATGAACAATAATACTATGTATGTTACACAGAACTCCAATGGATGGATAATTATATTCTGACAAACCTGTTCCAAATTTACTGAAGGGGTGATTGGGGTTTCCAGTAGCTTTCTCCAATTGAAACAACCTCCAGGCATCATTCATCAGATTCTTCTCATGCTCAGAATCAACAGCATTCACTTCCCTGTCTTTGCAGCTTTCATCAAACAAAGGGCACAGGAAAAACTGGGCAAATCTAAACAGAAAAATTTTAATTCAAGTCAAGAGTACTGTACATAAATGGTAACAAAGAAGTATGAAGCTTGGAACCTCCTGCAAACAGCCAAATCTTTTTTAATGCAGAACTTTGACACTGATTCACTATGTCTATTTCTCAATCTCTTTATCTATAAATGCCTATAACAATATATTCCTCACATAAGGTACTACAAGGATCAAGGACCTTGCATCATAATTCACACACTGAAAACTCCTACTGCTTTGAAGTTCAGCTGCAAGAGGCTCTTAATCTCACAAATGAAATCCATGGTGACAGACATCCAAGCAAAATCCAAAGGGAACATCTACTCTGTTTACCTCATTGACTACACACCTTTCAGTTTCTGTCCCCCCCCCACAAAAGGCAGAATTCAGTGAGTTTCCTTTACTAAAGGCAACCTAATAAATTTCTAGACGTCCTCCTTCTTTTGCTATCAATGAAACAAGGATCCTATGGGAAGCATATATATACAGAGTATTTGCACAATGCATAAGTTCATTATTATATTCTGTGCCCTACATGTCCAAAAATATTCAGTGCAAACACAGCCCTAGAACTTAAAAAATTCTGCCTCTGAAGAACTCTGCTCACTGAAAAAACTGAGCAAAACTGAACTGAAAAATACCTGGTATCAGTTTTAACAAAAGATACTGCTCTCGACCCTTTATTTTATATCACAACAATAAAAGTATCAAAAACTTTTACACAATTTCAAATAGCACCTATGTAACAAACAAATTAAATAATTAATTAAATAAAAAAGTGTTTACCTGTCTAGTGCACCTTCTAGATGTTCGTGTGACACATCAAAGTAATAGTTGGTATGTTCTCCACTTGTGAAAGCATTTGAGCTCCCAGCATGCTCACTAAGAAACTGGCTATACTCATTCTCTTTTGGATATTTCTTGGTTCCCAGGAACAGCATATGCTCACAAAAGTGACTGAGCCCAGCAATGTTGGGGGGATCTGACAAGGATCCTGCAGGAGGAAAAGTTTCATATAACCATTCATAAAAAGTAATATTAAAACTATAAGTTTTTTAAAGTGCTTTATACTACAGTATGTTGCCTCAGGCAATTATACCAATTCTGTAGATGTAGGCAGACACTTGGTGCAGCTACAACTAAACTCAATCTCAGAAAAAAAAAAATTAGAATGAGTAACTCAACCAATTAGTCTCAAATTGCCTCTCCAGATCAGCCTGCATTGCCTTATAGAGAGACAATTTTTAAATTGAAATCCATGACTCATAATCTGTAAAGACCTGACAGATTACAATGTTCTGACTTCTATACCTTAATAACTGCACTGTGTTAAAAGGCAGCAATTGCCAACCACAATTACGGAGGTATTTATCCTGTGGTTTATAGGACGAGTGATAACCTGTAATTTCCTGAACACAAGCAGCTATTGATGACCAGCTAGTAGGTGTGAAGGCAGATAGATTAAAATACAATAATGATGTGCAAGAATGGAAGCCAGAAACATGGAAGTTTGCGTCTGGCAGTCCTGCTTTTGAGTGTGCAACAACGTGCAATGGGAGAGTAGAGATGAAGGCAACAGACACACCTCCAGTACATGTGCAGGAGCTGGGTGCTGCAGTTGGTTATTGCTGTCATAGTACCTAACCTAGTATTGATGGAGCCAGGCTCTTCTCAGTGATGCCCAATGATAGGACAAGGGGCAATGGGTGTAAGCTGGAACACAGGAGGTTCCACTTAAACTTAAGAAGAAACTTCTTTACAGTGAGGGTGACAGAGCACTGGAACAGGCTGCCCAGGGAGGTTGTGGACTCTCCTTCTCTGGAGACATTCAAGTCCCGCCTGGACACCATCCTGTGTGATCTCATTTAGGTTCCTGCCCCGGCAGGGGGATTGGATCTTTCGAGGTCCCTTCCAATCCCTGACATTCTGTGATTCTGTGTGATTCTAAAAAAACCACATTTGGGATCCTCTGAACTAGATAATGGTTTGCGACAGTCATCTCCATAACAAAAAAGGACAGAAGTTACTCTACTACTTCTGTCCTAACACCAACAGCAGTAAGAGCTCCCAACTACAAACGTGGCAAGAGGATGCTTAGGTGATGAGTAAGGATGCTTAGGTAACATGTTCATCATACTTTCCAAGCAACTGAGAAACTACACAAGCTTGAGAAATCTCTCAGATAAAAGAAAAAGGTTCCATTATTCCACAGAGTCAAAGTAACTGCCTTCCCTTTCTATTTCCAGTATTTCTGTTGGCCCCACTGCAGTTAGGGAGTGCCCCTCCCACTCCTCCAGCACTCCAGCATTTTCTCACCTCTACATATCAGCAAGTTAACATGAGGGTGGGAAAGGGGGTCGGGCTGGGGGAAGTCTGACATGACAGATGGAGCCTGTCTGAAATAATTGCACTCACACCCGCCCCTTTTCTGCTTACAAAAGATCTTTCATAACACGAAACTTAATGGTTAAAAGAAGTCTTTCTACTGACTGAGCTACACTTGAGTAAACATAGAGTACAGTAAGAGAATTTAATTAGCTCTAATAATTTTCAACTTGATGTATCAAGGAATTAAACAAACTCTACGTTAGAATAAAAGGCTAGGCTGCCAACTGGATACTACTCCTGCCAGTTTATTTGCAATTAAGATACCAAAACTTAAAGCATTTTCATTAATGACATAACATGCATTAAATACCTATGTGCACATCAAGTGCTGCTGAAGACTTATCTGTGGTGGGGTCACTAATGAGAAGAGCTTTAATGCCATTTGCCAATTCCAGTCCACGATATTCTCGTTTATCCTCGGGTGATTTGATAATTTCATTCGTTATTCTTTTAATAGCTGGATTGTTCATTTTGTTGTTTGTCTTTTGCTGAAACCTTAAAGAAAACAGAAGACATTTCACGTACTATTTTTACTTAAGCCCTGATAGTATTTTAATATTATGTTAGAGAATACTGGGCAATACTGACAGCAAGAAATTTAGTTCTGTGCAAAACCCATAGAACTGATCTGAAAGTATATTTCACATCCCAAGAGATATTGTTATTAAAACAAACAAACAAAAAACTAAACACCAAGCAACATAACAAAATTGTAATCTCATAATTGAATGTTTCAAGTTTCATACTAACAGTAATTAAAAAACAACTTAGTAAAGAAATATCATCCCCTTACTCAATTATGATAAAAATGTAATTAAATGAAGCATACATTGCTATCTCAAGTATACTTTCAGGCTCCAGGAAATTATTTAATGCATCCAAATTGGTAGTTATATTAAGAATGTTGTAACTTCCCAATTGTCAGATAAACAAATTTTTACTAATAAAACACTGGGTTTGCACACTCAAGCAAGAAAGGGTGACCTCATTTACAATATTACCATAAAAATACAAACATACTGCAGAATTGCCATGATAAACAGAAATAGACTGTCTCATGTTTAAACTTCTACTATTAGAAGTAAACTTTGAAGAAGTTTAACAGATATGCTACAAGACATGCTTCTTTAATGGCACAATTTTGAAATGCTAAGAAACTAAGTGTGATTCTGAAATTATAAACTCTAGTTATTCTATTTTTCTAAATGCCAAGTGAAAAGGTGAGACATTCAGACTGAGATATTTGGGGAGGTAGAGTGGGACCACTAGGTCACATGTTAAAAAAACAAAACCAAAACCAAAACAAACAAACAAAACCCTAAAAAAAACCCCACCAACAAAAAAAATCCCCAAACAAACCACACATGCACAAAACTAACCAAATCCCAGAAGCAAGAAATGAGAGCAGTATGCTCTGAGACAATCCATGTACTACACAGTCCGATATGTAACAGCCAGTAAATCCTAACCTTGTTTTACAGGAAGGGCTTTAAAACAGCACCTGTTATAAATATATAGTACCAACCAAACTCAGTCTTTTCCTGTGGTGCAATGTTGCCATTTTGCCAAGGAACTTACTACATGAGCTTCATTAGTCATTACTGAACTAATTTCACTTACAAACAAAACCAGATCTGCATCCAGCTCCCCACCACAGCACATACACAGAGGTATGAGAAATTTCCTATGGTTCTGTCAGTATCACATACGTAACAAGGAGTTTCACAGTATTCACTTTCCCATTTGCAGGTTGTATGGTTCAAGGAACTTCATCCAAATTTTAAGACTACATACAAGGTTTAAGATGGTACGATGGGATGTGGCACGTGAAGGACTGCACAGTTCTCAACACATTTATTTTTTCAGGTTTTCAGTTATGACATTTTAACTAGCTCTAGCTATCAAATCAACTGCATTCCCAATGTCACCAGATACACAAGAAAAAGCTTCAGAAAAGAAAATCTGATTCTCTGTTTTATTCACAGTTTAAAATTACAAATGACAAAGGGAGTCAGCTAGCAAAATCTCCTTCCTAAAATACTGTATTAATCTCAAAACAGGAAGCAGTTCTTCAAGTTTCTGTCCTTCTAGATTATCTTTTTCCCATTTATTCATGTGATTCTATGGTATAACAACAGCCAACTTGAAGCTAGCAGATACAAAGTCATTAGTGTTGGTGTTGCATACTACAACGAGGCTGATAAAGACATCATTATTAACAGTATCTTAAGAATAGAAAGTATATGAACATAATGTCTAGAGCAGAATCAGTGAAAAACAGTGTTTCACAAACAGAAAAACAAGATTTTACCTGTAGCAGAATTAAAGTTTGTATATGACAGGATTTATGCTTGGGGAAGGAGATATATATGTAAACTGGAGATTTATTGTTAAGAAAAAAAAAAAAAAAGCAGTAAAGTGAGCATTAGATCTTTGAATGATTTTGAAAGAAGTACAAAGATTACTTTGGAACTTTTAAGTAGACTCGAGTTATATAATGCCGTCATATGAAAGAAAGCAAAGTTACAAACAGGAATTCAAATAACAAAAACAGAAGCACTGAGTGCAGAAAGCATCAAAGAATAATCAGAATCTGAATGTCTCTAAGCAAGAACCACAAAAAGTATGAAGTAACTTTTTAAGATGTGCTCAATGCATTTTAGAAGGAAACACCTACACTAGTAAAACATGGTTCTCACACTATGAATTACTTAAAAAAAACCACAAACAAACCAGTCAAATGTAATTGTAATCACTAAACAATAACTGAGATGCTGAATTTAAATTTAAATGTCTACACTCTCATTTAAACCTTTCATTTATCCACCAGTTTAACCCTGTACTCAGGCTAATTCTAATTGGAATGTCTATGGGCTTCCTTCCTCTGAAAAAATGCAGATACCATTCAAAAACAAAGGATACTCCAAGATACTGACACAATTCATGCCTGTGATTTAAAAAATGCCTCTTTGTTCAAAGTTCAGAGTCCTAATTAGAAATACTTAACTAAACTTAAGATACTTTGTAAAATTTATAAAGTGAGAATAGATACTACTTTTCATAGATGAAAGTCAGTAACTGAACTGTTCTCAATTGTATTTCACTTCTACACAATCCTATTGGATTGACAAACATAAGTACGTAGGAAAGCAAGGAGGCCTCTGAGTCTCCTGATTTCACCTCTGCTAGGGAACACCTACCACTTGGTATTCAGCTAGAATATGCCATCTCATTAAGATACCAGTTGCTTATCATAAGACACGTATATACTATAAACTTCTCAAGTTTGTTTTTTTTTTTTAAATGTTATACAATTTCCTTGTCATCTGATATCTCCTTGTTATTTCTATACCACCACATCATTAAGACACAGAACTTTACTTTGTTTGTTCAGATGACTCATTCCAATGTGATTCATCAAATTACGCAGCTTCTGTGAAATCTTATGAGATTTCAATTGATGTTTTGTAAAGCTGTACACCTCCACTTTATTTTATCATCATTCCCTACTTCTGCCTCCTTCATAGGACGTAGGTCCAGCTTGGTAGTCAAATTTCAGTACAGGAAAATCCTACAAATTTTCAAAAGGTCAAAATCAGTAATTAAGTCTTCAAACCAAAGACTTAAAACTTGTATCACTCTCTTCATTGTTATTTCAATAGGCATTGAGAACAACACTCTCTTCAACTTCAAATGGGTTTCCAGGATTAACCCACAATTAAACTAAAACCAGTCAAGTCATAAAAGCCAAGAGCAGATCAACTATGCAATATGCCTGGAAGGCAACGTGTGAAAAGAACAAGACCAGTACCTTCCTGCTTAAGTACCACTCCACCTGGTGCTACGTAGGTTACTACAATACAATAGCTAGAAATTTCACTTAAAATATTTATACAATTACTTTTTCTTATGGAGTTAATATTAAATATTCCCTCACATGACTCCTTTTGTGTTCAACTTTTAAGTTCTCTAAGTGCAACTGCTTTATAACAATACCACGTTTCATTCTTTCACACAAGAATCCTAAAACACTACAAACTACTTTTTGGCAATAGAACTGCTTTGACCATAGGATAAAAAGGGAAACAGAAAGAATTCTGTATTTCTTATAGTTTCTTTGAGAAGTAGTTTAATTCCTAAAGTTGTGTTGAGACACTGTCCTGAAATACTTGTGCTGCATTTACTTGCTAGGCTCTCATTACAGTAAGCATTGAATGCTGACACTCAGTAGCAAAGAAATTCATCCATAAACTAGATGCTATGTTCACTGTGGAGCTAACTTCCTAACAAAAACACCATTAAATGAAATATTTTCATACTACTTTCACAAAACAGAAGCAACAGAAAAAGACCCAAGAAAGCAAAGACAGCAGGAACAAGTGCAAAGCATTACTGTGGCACCAGGAATTCTTCCACTGGTTCAAAAGTTACAGGTGGCAAGATGACAGAGCTAGGAAGGAAGAGAAAAGAATGGAGATGTTTGAACTGAGAGCAGTGTCCCTACTCAATGACTAGGAAATATAAAACATTCTTCCTCCTCCTCATCCAAATTAGTTCACTTGTACAAGAAAAGTATCAGTTAAAACAGATGCTGAATTTTAAACTATAGAACTTTGAAATAAATTATACGCTATTCTTTGAGGCCCCTTTTTTGTAATGATTTCCAGGCAGGCAGTCCCTTGGAACCAGCAAGGCTCTCTGGGGATGCCAGGTTCCACCTGCAAACAGAATATTGCAGAGAGGGGATTAAGTGACATAGGATTCTGCCTAACTATTTTAATCTTTCAAAGTTATTTTAGTAAACTCACTTTAATTAAAAAATCAGACCACGTAGTCAAATCTAAGTTCAATGTTTGAAAAATTAAAGGATCATATTTGAAAAGCAATTAACACAAACTCCTGAGGGTTGCCTCAGTGCAAGAATGTAACTAGCTAATAAAAATATGACCCCCAAAGCACAAACTCAAAAGGGCTTTTCAAGATTCTTTTTTTTTTTTGCCACGACAGCCTGCACAGATTTAAGTCAAATGCTGGTACATAGGTCTGAGCCAGATGAATGGCTATAAACGCTAATCAGCTTGACCTAACCAGATAAATGGCAACAAACAATTAACAGCTCAGCAGATTTTGATGCTTGTTTTCAATTTATATCAGTTGCCTTAAAAGCTGGGATTTGCTTGAAGCTTTTGTGCAACTGAACCCAAATTACCTCTATGGACCCACCTGTGGACGTTGGAACAGACTCACTTTAAGTTTACACTTGTACATACTAGGATCTGAATTGCTCCTCATTTTCAGCTCCTGTTTCATCTGTCTTTTGAATACATTGAGATGTTAAGCTGACTGCAATACAATTGTTATTCATGTTCTAACTGTGTTTTTGAAACTATACAAAGACCACAGTAACGTTCAATCTCCCATCTTGTACCTGTTCCAAGTTCTGTATTTTATTTATATCCATTTCTTTTTCATTTTTGTTTTGTTGTTT